TCATGAATAATAATATAGATAGTGGTTATGCTGAAGCAGCCCCTCATGATAAAGAACATGAAGACAATGGTTTGAAATTGTACATCCTCTACCATGGTGTTTACAGTTCCAACAAGCCAGAGAAGGTGCGAGTTGTGTTCGATTGTAGTGTTGAATATCAAGGAAAAGTGCTTAATCATCACCCACTTCAGGGCCCAGAACTCTTAAATAACCTGACTGGTGTTTTGTGCCGTTTCCGAAAGGAACCTGTGGCAATTATATGAAGTCATGTTTATACAGGTCGGTGTTAGTATTAATGATCGCAATTATTTGGGGTTTCTTTGGTGGAAAGATGGTGACCTAACCTTCAGAATACCGAATTACTGTTCACTTGTTCGGTGTCACATCATCCCCAGCATGTGCAAACTTTGCACTGAAATCTACTGCAGATGTTATGGTGATGAATCTAATCTAGAAGCAGCAGATTTTGTGTAGAATAACTTTTACATCGATGATGGACTTAATCAGTTCCTGATCCCACCCAAGCTATCAATCTGGTCAACAGATGCACACAGTTGTGTGCCAAGAGAGGATTAAAGCTCCACAAATTTGCTTGTAATGATAAACAAGTTGTCAAGAATATCCCTATTAGTCTGAGAGCCACGGATATTCAGAGCTTTGATATTTGTCATGATAATCTCCCAGTAAATATAGCACTTGGTGTGTATTGGTGTTTAGAGTCTGATACTTTTCAGTTTCGAATTGAGATAAAGGATAAACCCTTCACCCGCAGGGGGATATTGTCTACTGTTAGCTCGATTTTCGATCCCCTTGGTTTGGTCTCTCCAGTTTTGCTTATGGGGAAGAAGATCTTGCAAGGATTAACCAACGATGGAATGAATTGGGATAATCCAGTCCCTGAAGATATAAGATCGCAATGGGAAAAGTGGAGGCATGGGTTGTCTCTTTTGGCTTGTCTCAAGGTGCCCATGTGTTACAAACGTGATGATATTGGTGACCTTGGTACAGTTGAGATGCATCATTTGTCTGATGCTAGTCTTCTAGGTTATGGCCAGTGCAGTTACCTGAAGCTACAAGATAATCAGGGTAATATTTCTTGTTCTTTAATGTCAGCAGTCACTTCTGTGTTGGTGAGGGAGTTCTTAAATAAGGAGCTGAAGTATGATGGTATTTTTCATTTTTTGGGGGGGTCAGACAGCAAGGTTGTATTAGGGTATATTGCAAATAAGCTTTCACATAATCGTAGCTAATAGGGTACAGAAAATTCAAAATCATACACAGCCAAGTCAGTGGAGATATATTGAATCAAAGAAGATATATCGCTTCAAGAGATTCCAGATGATTTAATCCATAATTCTACCTAGTGTAAAGGTCCAGTACTTCTAGCCACAGTAGAA